CTAAGACACGTCTATGTGCGGCCTGAGCCAGCCTCACATATTCCACCGGTGGCATTGTTTACAAGCCAGCCTCCGCGGTAACATCCAAGCATACAATTGGAACATTTCGTATTATTACAGCATTTTTGGCGATTTCACCTGCAAAATAAGTGACCATGGGGCCCAAGAAAGCTTCTAGTGCCAACCCTACAGGAATGAGGGTGAGAATTACTATGGAGATGAAGAAAGAGATCATTGCTAAGTATGAAAGTAGAGTACCTGTCTCCAAGCTGGCCAGGTTGTATAGTAAACCCCAATCAACCATCGCTACTATTGTGTCCAAGAAAATGGCAATCAAGGAAGCTGTTCTTGCCAAAGGTGCAACTGTGTTTTCGAAACAGAGATCACAAGTGATAGAATATGTTGAGAGACTCTTACTGGTGTGGATAAACGAAAAACAAATAGCAGGAGATAGCATCTCTCAAGCGATCATAAGTGAAAAGGCTAGGAAACTGCATCATGATTTAATTAGAAAAATGCCTACAACTAGTGATGATGTGAGTGAATTTAAGGCCAGCAAAGGTTGGTTTGAGAGATTTAAGAAGCGTAGTGGCACACACAGTGTGATAAGGCATGGTGAGGCTGCCAGTTTGGACCACAAAGCAGCTGAAAAATATGTGCAGGAGTATATATACAGTGAAGGACTGAAACCTGAATAAGTGTTTAATTGTGACGAAACAGGCCTGTTTTGGAAGAAAATGCCAAGCAGGACCTACATTACTGAGGAGGAAAAGACACTCCCAGGACATAAGCCTATGAAAGACAGGCTTACTCTGTTAATGTGTGCCAATGCTTGTGGTGATTGCATTGGCATTGGCGTTCAGACAAAAGAATATCCTCAAGGCTAATTTGTGTGTGATGTGGAGGGCAAACAGTAAGGCATGGGTCACTAGAGACTTTTTCTATGACTGGTTACACCATGCATTTGCCCCCAATGTGAAAAATTTCCTAACTGAAAAGAAATTAGACCTTAAGTGCCTCCTGGTGTTAGACAATGCCCCTGGTCATCCTACAGACTTGGCAGAGCGACTTTGTGGGGACATGAGCTTCATTAAGGTCTAGTTTTTGCCTCCTAATACCACTCCTCTCCTGCAGCCCATGGACCAGCAAGTTATTGCAAAGGAAATAAATGGTATAAAATACCGACACAATGGAAATATAAACACATATGCAGTATAATGTGATCCTTTATTGACTACGTTTTGCCCACACAGTGGGCTTTTTCAAGTCACAAACAGAACTACCTGGGGTGGAAGGAACGCGAGTATTTATAGTCCAGTTCAGAATGCTGAGGTCAGGTGGAGAATGCTGCATCTGATGATGTACCGAGTGGGGTTATACAGTCTAAAAACTTGGGTAGCTTGGAAAGGAGATTGGATAAGTTTGTGAGCAGACCTTCTACAGTGTTCTTATGTGGGATAGCGATGAAGAAGTTTCTTAGCAAGTGGTTCAGCTATGTTATAGAAGCCATTATTCTGGTTGAAGTTGTCGGATATAGAAATAAGTGATGATTCCAGGATTCTTCGGTATTGAGTGTTGTCTTCTGTGGCGATAAGTCTTGAGTTTCTGTAGTTTATTACGGTGTTGTACGCAGGCATTCCTTGTGTCGTCAGACCTGCTTGCGTATTGGTGTTCTGAAATACGTGTTTGGAGGTCCCTTGATGTTTCGCCCACGTATAACTTGTTGCAGTCATTACAAGGGATTATGTATACCCCTGCAGAGGGTGGAAGCTTGTCCTGTCTATCACTGGTAATGTCCTTGATGGTCGTGGTTGTGGAGCGAAACATCAAGGGACCTCCAAACACGTATTTCAGAACACCAATACGCAAGCAGGTCTGACGACACAAGGAATGCCTGCGTACAACACCGTAATAAACTACAGAAACTCAAGACTTATCGCCACAGAAGACAACACTCAATACCGAAGAATCCTGGAATCATCACTTATTTCTATATCCGACAACTTCAACCAGAATAGTGGCTTCTATAACATAGCTGAACCACTTGCCAAGAAACTTCTTCATCGCTATCCCACATAAGAACACTGTAGAAGGTCTGCTCACAAACTTATCCAATCTCCTTTCCAAGCTACCCAAGTTTTTAGACTCTATAACCCCACTCGGTACATCATCAGATGCAGCATTCTCCACCTGACCTCAGCATTCTGAACTGGACTATAAATACTCGCGTTCCTTCCACCCCAGGTAGTTCTGTTTGTGACTTGAAAAAGCCCACTGTGTGGGCGAAACGTAGTCAATAAAGGATCACATTATACTGCATATGTGTTTATATTTCCAAGTTATTGCAAACTTCAAAAAACTGTACACAAAAGTTCTGTTTGAAAGGTGCTTTATAGTGACCTCAGAAACTCAATTGACTCTAAGAGAGTTTTGGAGAGATCACTTTAATACACTCAGTTGTGTAAACCTTATAGGTAAGGCTTGGGAGGGAGTGACTAAGAGGGCCTTGAACTCTGCTTGGAAGAAACTGTTGCCACAATGTGTAGACCAAAGGGATTTTGAAGGATTTGAGGCTAACCCTGAGAGGTGTATGCCAGTTGAGGAATCAATTGTGGCATTGGAGAAGTCATTGGGGTTGGAGATTAGTGGGGAGGATGTGGAAGAGTTGGTGGAGAAAGACAATGAAGAACTAACCACTGATGAGCTGCTAGATCATCTTCAACAGCAAGAGGCCAGACCTGAGGAAACTGCTTCGGAGGATGGGAGAGAGAAATTGAAGAAGTTGCCTACTTCAAAGATTAAGGAAATCTGTGCAATGTGGCTTAAAGTGCAAACCTTTATGGATGAAAACCACCCTCAGACAGCTCTTGCAAGCTGTGTTGGCAACCTGTACACTGACAGTGTTGTGAACCACTTTAGGAAAGTCATAAAGGAACAAGAGGTACAGACCTCTATGGACAGATGTTGTGCGACAGAAGTCCAGTGACTCTGAAGCTGCTCTTAGTGGCATTAACCCTTAAATGGTCCAAACGTATATATACGTTTTTTCAACATCTGAAAGTATGTAAAAAAATGTAGATCTTCTTTTTTGTTTTACATTTGAAAACGTGTAAAAAAAACTTTTATCTACATTTTTTTTTGTTATATTTAAAAATATGTAGAAAAAAGTAAATCTACTTTTGTATCACTACGAATTTGAACGTCGATCTGTTTGGACCATTTAAGGGTTAAAAGAAGAAAGGAAGTAACCCCGGAAAAGGACTTGACACCTCAAGTCCTAATGGAAGGGGATTCCCCTTCTAAACATTAAGACCATCAACACTCTCCCCTCCTCCCATCCCATCAATCATCACCAGATCTTCAATAAAGGTAAGTGTCATGTAACTGTGCATGTCTTCTTCAGTTTGTGTGTATAAAAATTAATGTTTCATGTGGTAAAAAAAAAAATTTTCATACTTTTGGGTGTCAGGAACGGATTAATTTGATTTCCATTATTTCTTATGGGGAAAATTATTTATTTTATTTATTTAGAAATTTTAGCATACAAACAGAGGTACAAAAAATACAGGTAAGAGCAGCATGCCAAAGCCACTTATATGCATAGCATTACGGGCTGGCTTAAAATTAACTTAAGATTAACTAAGCAATGATGAAATCAGTGATAAGACATTATTGTGATAAGACATTAATTCGCATAACGATAATTTCGCCTAACATTGAGCTCTCAGGAATGGATTAATAGTGTTATGCGAGGGTCCACTGTATTTACTTTTATATTTACACTTTTATATTTACACTTACCTGGAGATGTTAGTTTAATTAGTTTGATGGAGGAAATGTGGCAGAGGTTTAGGGTAGTGGAAGATACATAGCAGGGTAGCGTATGTTCATTGGCCCGATACATATCCAACAACATTGGAGAGTTACTTTCATGTCATTTTTCTATTGCTTACTCGCTTAACTTACTTGCTACACTGCTAATTCTGTTGTGCAAGACAGGTATACAATACCGACAAGATGAAAGTTAAGACACTTGTGCAACATCTGGTTATCTTTATTGTAAACGTTTCGCCATCCAGTGGCTTTATCAATACAAATTCTTGGACATAATTAGAAAACAGAAGAACTATATACAAAAGATGAGGTAATCAGTCCCTCAGCCTTGGAGGTGGTGTTTACAACACCGTAGTTGTAGAGATTCTGAAGCACAGGTAAGGAGACTGGTGCTTATATAGGCGTCAGTGAAGAGAGACGTGTAGCAGACGAGGGCATAGTCACTGGTAGGCGGGATTCCCCAGTGGAAGTAGGTCCTTCCCAAATTGATGGGCTAGTTGTAGAAGTCGTGAAGAAGGTCATGTAGATGCCCTCTGAATCAAGATATCATGATGTTGCAGTGCCTGACAAGTTGTGCAAGACAGGTATAAAATACCGACAAGATGAAAGTTAAGACACTTGTGCAACATCTGGTTATCTTACCTGTGCTTCAGAATCTCTACAACTACGGTGTTGTAAACACCACCTCCAAGGCTGAGGGACTGATTACCTCATCTTTTGTATATAGTTCTTCTGTTTTCTAATTATGTCCAAGAATTTGTATTGATAAAGCCACTGGATGGCGAAACGTTTACAATAAAGATAACCAGATGTTGCACAAGTGTCTTAACTTTCATCACTGCTAATTCTACACTTTAATGCTGGCTGGCACTATAGACTTTACTGATACCTGCTGTTTTAGTATTGTACATATCATAGAATCACTGAAGAAAGCACATTCTCCCCTCTCTCTTCCTCCTCCACTTTGGTACTTTGCTATGAGTTTTTTTCTTGAATTCTATTGTGCTTCTCTCCTTCTGTACCACAAGGCTGGCACTAGAAGCTTTCTTTGGGCCCATGGTGGCTTATTTAGCAGTTACAAGCACTAAAAACAATGGAATAATACAAAATATATCGCATGTACACATGGAATCATCCTCACTGGCTAGTAAACAATGGCACACTACCTGTACGTGGGTTCAGGCTGCGCAGACATGTTCGTGATGAATGTCCTTAACTGAGTTCTTGGGCATCAGCTGAGCCAATATTTTGATGAAAAAACGTGCCGCTATCTGATTTTGGCATTAGCTGATGCCACTATTACCCGAAGGTCCACTGTAAATGAAAAAAAAATGACTAAAAAAGGTATATTGGCAACACTTCTGGAAGCAGCAGGATTGTTGCCATCAAGTGAGCCTCCAGAGCCAACTTCATGGTCTTACATCTCGGTAAATACTGACTCTAAATTTTTTTTAATCCTACAACAAGTAGAAAAATGTACTCTTCATTTAAAAAAAAAAAAAAAAAAAATTATTTTTCAAAATATTCGTAGCACTACGCAAGTGAACGTAGATCTATGTTTGGACAGTTTAAGGGTTAAATATTTATCTGTAAAGATCTTCAAGATAAATCACAAGTTGTGTATAGCAGTTATGTTAACTAATAATTGAGTAAACAATATGACTTCAACACAAACATGTTTAACTTGTATTATATTCTTGGAGTATAATAATATTAATACAGTCACTTCTCACTTAGTGATGCACTTGTTTACTGATACTTCGGACTTATGATGGCTGTCTGACCAGTATGCATACTTATAAAATGTATATTAGAGCTGATTTCCTCTATTCTGTTTATTACAATATACAGTACACTTCTGAATAAACATTTTAAAAATTCCAGGAATGTAATAAATGGTGCAAAGGTGACATTATAACAATATCAAACTTGGTTGGCACAAACCCACTATCATTATATTATACTCCTCATTTAGTAAGGAATTCATTTACTGATGTGGTCTTAGGAATGGAACTCTGTAGTTGACTGAAGAGAAGCAGTAATATAATCAAACTAAGTGCTAAACCTGAAAAGGTCACAGAGCACTGCAGGGTGAATTGTGCTAAAGAAGGAATATATGAAGGTCAGAGACCAGTGCGCTGTAGGCGTGTGCAATAGGTAGAGTTATGAAAGGTTGTGGCCCCTGCTCTCAAACTTGCTCCCAGGGTCGAAGATTTAAAAAAAAAAAAATTCTTAAAACATTACAGAAAATCTTTTTTCCAAAGGTAATGAAACCAAAAGCACGAAATATGACGGAAAGCTTCTGGAATTATGCTCTCACAAATTTAGTAGTCTCTGTGATGTTTACTTATTGGTGACTGCCAATTTTCAGCCCTATTTCAGGCCAACTCCAGTTGATCAAACTCGTAGCTATGCCATTAGAACTCCTTTCATTCTATCGATTGAGTACTCCTTTCATTCTATCAATTGAGTACAAGAAACTGCTCATTTACCTATTTCAACTACTAATAAAGTGATCAGAAAATACTAATTTGGCCAATTTCACACAAAATTTAAGAAAGACCATTTTCAAAATAGGGTCCAGAAAAAATAATGCAGGCATTCCTGGCACTAAAATAACATTTTCTCTATTCCTCAGTCACCTCTCCAGGAACCTCTTATATTACAATTGCTTTTCAGTTCAAATTTTTATTCGTACACAAAAAAAAAAAAGCTTTACTGTTATTCATACTATTGTATAATTATAATAATTGTATAAATAACATCAACCCACTCATGACCTAATATTAAACCAGCCAGATGGATGCACACTGGATGTAGAACATGATTTGTTTACCCTTTGAACATTTGCAAAACTTGAACATTTCCATTACTTCGAACTTAATTTCAAGCTACTTTTAATCCGCAAACCATTCACAATCATCCTCCATCTCAATTTCTCACGCCAGAGTGAAATGAAATCTAGCTTATAGAAACCTCTAATTCTATAAAATATTTTCCATTCTATCAAATGAGACCAAGAAACTGAGAATATTTTTTTTTTTTTTATTATCACACTGGCCGATTCCCACCAAGGCAGGGTGGCCCGAAAAAGAAAAACTTTCACCATCATTCACTCCATCACTGTCTTGCCAGAAGGGTGCTTTACACTACAGTTTTTAAACTGCAACTTTAACACCCCTCCTTCAGAATGCAGAATCCATATGAAAATACAGTAGAGCCTCAATCAACGGTGGCATGGACTAACACCAAACTTGACTAACGGTGTTCTTTGGCATCAAAAAACTGGCTCTACCAACAGCAAAAAACTCGTCTAAAGGCTTTCATCCCAAACGTGTCCATGCGGCCTGAGCGGGCCCAGCCACTCCAAGACTCCATGTACAGTTAGTGTGCCAGTGTTTACAAGCCGTTTCGGTTGATTCCACACGTACCTGCGATATATTTTGTATTATTCCAGTGTTTTTAGTGCTTGTAACCGCTAAATAAGCCAACATGGGGCCAAAGAAAGTTTCTAGTGCCAGCCCTGTGATAAAGAAGGAAAGAAACACAATAAAATTCAAGAAAAAAAAAATCGTAGCAAAGTACTGAAGTGGAGGAGGAAGAGAGAGGGGAGAATGTGCCTTCTGCAGTGATTCAGTGATTCTACGATATGTACGATACTAAAGCAGCAAGTATCGATAAAGGCTATTGTGCCAGCCAGTGATAAAGCATAGAATTAACAGTGCAGCAAGTAAGTTAAGCGAGTAAGCGATAGAAAAATGACAGGAAAGTAACTCTCCAATGTTGTTGGATGTGTGTATATCCGCTGAACATATGCTGGCCTGCTATCTTCCACTACCCTAAACCTCTGCCACATTTCCTCCATCAAACTAATTAAACTAACATATCCTGCAAGGTAAGTGTAAATATAAAAGTGTAAGTATAAAAGTAATTATATTAAGTGTAAATATAAAAAAAACCCAATGGTAATATGTAAGTCACTCCAACTTTTTTGGGTTATCCTAGGTACTTTACACAAATACTGCTATGTATGATAATCTATGTAGCTGTATACCCGAATAAACTTACTTATTTATAAATTATTATGTAAATATTTCTTATTTATAAATTAAAATGTAAATATTTCTTATTGATAAATTAAAATGTAAATATTTCTTATTTATAAATTAAAATGTAAATATTTCTTATTTATAAATTAAAATGTAAATATTTCTGATTTATAAATTACATACATTGTTTAACTGTGGTAGTGGTGCTGGCAGAAGCCTCCACCACCACCAACATGGCTTCTCTCAGTGGCGGCCAACAACAACAACAACAACAACGCTTACACCATTTACTCCTCTCAAACATAATGACATATTTTATTCATTCTAGAGTACAGTGGACCCCTGCCTTACGATATTAATCTGTTCATAAGAGCTCATCGTAAGACGAAATTATTGTATGGCGAATTAATTTTCCACATAAGAAATAATGGAAATCAAATTAATCCGTGCAAGACACCACAAAGTATGAAAAAAAAAATTTTTACCACATGAAATATTAATTTTAATACACACAAACTTAAGAAGACATGCACTAAGAATACAATACATGACACTTACCTTTATTGAAGATCTGGTGATGATTGATGGGATGGGAGGAGGGGAGTGTGGAAGTTGCTATTGTTTAGAAGGGGAATCCCCTTCCATTAGGACTTGAGGTATCAAGTCCTTTTCTGGGGTTACTTCCCTTCTTCTTTTATTTATTAATTTGAACATGATACAGAGAAGTACAAAAGAATACAGTTAAGTGCGGCATGCCAAAGCCCCTTGTATGCAGAGCATTATGGGCAGGCTTAAAATTAACTTAAGATTAACTAAGCAATGATGCATTCAGTGGAAGAAACATTATTGTAAACAGAAAACAATTATGCACAAATGAGTATTACAAAGACAGGTCATATGGTTGCATGCATTGCTGTACATTCAGTAGAATGAAGTATTCTGTTAGGTAGTGTAATTAAAAAAATAACAAAGTTTGATTGGGTCTTAGGTTCAACATTTATGTGATACAATTATGAGAAACGTTTAAGACATACAATTTATAAGATACAATTATTCAGTATTTATTTGGTTGTGGGCAAGTAAGTGATCTTTGAGAAGAGACTTGAATTTATAAACAGATAGTGTTTCTTTTAAATTTACAGGTAATGAATTCCAGATTTTAGGGCCTTTTATGTGCATTGAGTTTTTGCATAGTGTGAGATGGGCACGAGGAACATCAAAGAGTGATCTGTGCCTTGTGTTATGGTCATGTGCTCTGTTGAGGTTGGTAAGGAGACGTTTGAGGGGAGGGTTTATATCAGAGTTAAGTGTTCTTTGTATGTAATAGGTGCAGTAATAAGTAAGATGTTTTGTATGGTGAGCAGCTTTAGAGTTTTGAATATTGGTGGAGTATGCTGCCTGTAGTGGGAATTTGTTATCATTCTGACTGCAGCCTTTTGTTGGGTAATTAGTGGTCTGAGATGGTTTATTGTTGTTGAACCCCGTGCACAAATTCCATAGGTGAGATAGGGGTAAATAAGTGAGTGATATAGGGCCAGGAGGGCTGACTGTGGAACATAGTACAGTATCTTCGATAGTATGCCTACGGTCTTGGAAATTTTCTTGGAAATTTGTTGTATATGTGTATGAAATTTGAGTCTATTATCAAGGTGGATTCCTAAGAATTTTCACTCTGTGAGCTTTGTGATAGGTGATCCGTTTATCATTATGTTAAGAGGGACATCTGTAGCTCTGTTACCAAACTGGATGAAGTAGGTTTGGTCAATGTTTAGTGTAAGTTTGTTAGTCCTCATCCAGGTAGATATTTTCTGTAATTCGGTATTTACAGTATTGGCTAGCATGACTGGGCTCGGGTGAGAGAAAACGTATGTAGTGTCATCTGCAAATAGTGTGGGTTTGAGTAATTGCAAAGCATTTGGTAGGTCATTTATGTATATGAGAAAGAGAAGAGGGCCAAGGACACTTCCCTGTGGGACACCAACTGTAATTGGCTGTGCAGAAGAGTTTGCCCCATTTGTGTACACATATTGGCTTCTGTTGCTGAGGTTTGACTTGAGGTAGTTGAGGGAGTGCCCTCTTATACCACAGTGTGACAATTTTATGTAGAGCATGTCATGGTCAACTGTATCAAAAGCTTTATGTAAGTCAATGAAGATCCCCAGTGGGACTTCTTTTTTCTCTATTGCAGTGTATATATGTTCTAGCATGTGTATAATAGCATCATTAGTATTTTTATTAGGCCTGAACCCAAATTGGCAGGGGCTGAGTATGTTTTGGGAGA